TATCTATTAAAATACTGACAGAACATCTTTCAAAACACTTCAAGTTATTTTAATCGATTATTTCGAGTTTGTATCGATTAAAATTCTGCCAAAACACTTTTCAAAACAACTTAAGTCATTTTAATCGATTATTTCGATTCTACATCAGTTAAAATACTAGCAGAAGGTTTTCAAAAACTCTTTTAATGAAAATAATCGATTATTTCGAAGACATATCAATTAAAGCAGTTCCAGTGTATGTTTTAAAAGGTTTTAATTGATTAATTCGAAAACCTATCAGTTAAAAACATGTTACGAAAGTGTTAAGAACATTTTAACTGATAAAGCTCATATAATATCAGTTAAAACAGTTTACTTAAAAGTCATTTAACAAATTACTTTGTTTTTAACAGTTTAAACATGTTTTAGAGGCATTTGCAAAATCTTTTAAATGAAGAAACCTCATGCAGCAGAGAGATAAGAATGATTATACCTAAGTATACATGCAGACTCACTAACCACTCTACCCTTTTATCCAAGTAACCTTTTACTACACCAGAATATCCTTTGACTTCATTTTGTCTTCATCAAATCAACAAGATCTTTGTTTAATCAAATGATTCAATAAGATCTTCATCACTTTCAACATTAGGCTTCCTTCCATTTAACAATTCATAAGGAGTTGTTTTTATGATTGGCCTAATAAGCATTCTATTCAATACATAACATGCAGTACTTACAGCATCAACCCAAAAATATTTAGGAACATTTGATTCATTTAACATTATTCTAGCAAGTTCCTCTAGTGACCTATTTTTTCTTTCTACTACACCATTTTGTCGGGGAGTTCTAGGTGCAGAAAAATTATGCAAAATTCCATTTTCTTCATAGTAATTTTCAAATGATTCATTTTGAAATTCTCCACCATGGTCACTCCTCAACACTTTAATTCTTAAGTCTTTCTCATTATGAATTTGCTTGGAAAATTCCTAAAGACTTTAAAAGCTTCACTTTTTAATGTAAAGAAAAATGTCCAAGTAAATCTAGAAAAATCATCAACAATTACAAGAGCATAGTAATTTCCACCAAAACGTTTTATCCTAGATGGACCAAATAAATCTAAGTGTAAAAGTTCTAAAGGTTTTGATGTGGAAATAACATTCTTAGATTTAAATGATGATTTCACTTGTTTACCTTTTTTACATGCATCACATAATCTATCTTTTTCAAATTTTAACTTAGGCAAACCTTTATCTCCAAAGTATTTGCACCACCAATATTTCCGGTTCCAAGTATTCTTCCTTTGTTGTTGTCCCCACAGGTTACATATCCTTGTTCTTTTGCTTTGAAACTCACAAATTTCTTTTTGTCTCCAGTCATATGTCTTGAACACCCACTATCAAGATACCACATAGACTTCTTGGATTTGGAAGTTTCCTACAAAACAAGAACATAATAATCTTAGGTCCCCATAACTTTTGGGTCCTTGGGGTTAGAGACAATCAAATCATTTATCTTTAGGAACCCAAACATATTTTCCCTTTGGAACACCAAAATGCTTAATTTTACACCTATTAGATGTATGTCTTGTTTCATACAATAGAAGCAAGCATTAGATGTAATTCTTGAAAATGATACGTTTTTATTTTGAGAAGATTTAGATCTTTTTTCAACCCATACTCTTCGAGTTCTATTTTTAAGCTTTTTTAATGGAACATGACAATTTTCTCTAGTTTGTACAATAACCTCATCCTTATAACAATCACTTAATTCTTTCTTAGCTTTATCAAGTAAGTGACTAAGTATGTCAACATCAATATCATATTCTTTACATGATGCACATGTTATTTGTTTATCACCTTTTTCCTCTAAACATGCAATTTTCATTTTCAAGGATTTCGCTTCTTTTTTTGATTTATTCAAACACTTTTTCAAGGTTTTATATTCAGATTTTAAGTCCTTAAAAGCAGTAAACAACTCTTGATATAAATTATGCAAGGCATCATAATCATTTTCATCGTCACTTGAAGAACAATCGGAATCACTTACCTCACAGTTAGAAGAAATGTTATCATTTGCCATCAAGCAAATATTTGCTTCAACTTCCGAATCGCTTGACTCCGAACTTGAGTCACTATCATCCCAAGCTATATAGGCTTTCTTTTTGAAGAATTTCTTTCCTTTATAATCATCACTTTTCTTGTTGGGACAATCGGATTTTACATGCCCTGTTTCACCACAACCATAACATTTGAAATTTAAAGAAGAACTTTCTTTTACCTTTCCCTTACCTTTGAAAGGTTGCTTCCCTTTGGCTTTCATGAACTTTGTAAATTTCTTGATCATAAGACTCCAGTTTTCATCTTCTTCATTTTATGAGTCTTCTTCCTCCTTCTTGTTCTTGCTTTTAGAAACTTCAGTTTTGAAGGCTAGGTTTCTCTTTTGATGTTGGCCTTCTTCATCGTTTAGTCTTCCGAGTTCAAGTTCATGCTCTCTCAACTTTCAAAAGAGAGCCGCCATAGTCATGGTAGCAAGATTTTGTGACTCCGTGATGGTAGTCACCTTTGGTTGCCATTTCCTATCCAAAGATTTAAGAATTTTTACATTTAATTCATCACTATAAAAAATCTTACCAAGTCCAGTGAGATGGTTCACAATATGTGTGAAACGCTTTTGGACGTCAAAAATCGTTTCTCCTTGTTGCATCCGAAACATCTCATATTCTTGAATTAATGAGTTCTTCCTTGCTCTTTTAACATCATCGGTACCTTCATGGGTTACTCTTAACATTTCCCACATTTCTTGAGCACTATTGCAAACAGATATCTTGTAAAACTCATCAAGGGTTAAAGCAGACGAAATTATATTTCTAGCCCCAACATCATATTGAGCTTTTCAATTTTCTTCTGCACTCCATCTAGAAAATGGTTTAGACTCCTCTTCTCCATTTTCAGTAACTTTTGGAATAAAAGGACCATTTACAATTGCATCCCATACACCCCTATCAACAGACTCCAAAAATATTTGCATTCTAACTTTCCAAAAGGGATAATTTTGCCCGATAAAAAGTGGGAGTCTATTGATAGAAGCACCCTTGACAAAAGTTTGATTTTTTCCGGCCATTTTCGAAATTTGAATGACTATCAAAGCAAGTTTTGATACCACTTGTTAGAATCTCACAACGGAATGTTCGCGTTTAGGGACAAAAACCAAGAGGGGGGGGTGAATTGGTTTCTTAAATAAAAATTAGGGTTTTGAAATTTTTCCCAAATTTCACCGATTAAAATACTTTGTAAAGTAAAGAGATAAGGGAAAGAAGATTACACAGATTACAAATTGAAATACTGGTTCGGATCAAAAGACCCTATGTCTAGTTGCTAATCACTCAAAAAGAGGATTAACACTGTCACTATAATCATAGGTTACAACAAATTACAAATTGAAAAAGATAAGGAATAGAAAACACCTCTCTTGAGTCACACAAGAGATGAACACCTCCTTTGAATCCACAAAGGATGAACAACAGCTTTTCCTAGAGACGACACAACACACAATCCACCAAGAAACCCACTCAGTGATTCTTATCGTTTCTAGCCCACACTAGGTTTTCAAAAGCCCCTTTTTCTTCCCTACAGAAAATTCTCTAGTAGTCACAACTCTTAAATTTTGTATGAAAAAGGTTTGTTATTTTTCAGAGAGCCTTAGAGAACCTTAAGTAGAGAGAATAGGGTCTGGGAAATGATGATTTTCGAAAACATAAGAATTGGGAATAGGGTTTTCGTAAATTGGTCCAGATTTGAATTTCAAAACTCATAACAGACGTAGATAATCGATTATCTTGAGTGATAATCGATTATTACAGAGTCATTTTTGCAGAGGAGTAAAATAGGACCTGGATAATCGATTATCTAGCTGGGATAATCGATTATCCTGAGTGATAATCGATTATCATAGCAAGGTTTTCAGAAAAACAATTTTTCAGTGCAGGATAATCAATTATTCTAAGTGATAATCGATTATCACAGAGTGGATTTGATAAAAATGAGTTTTCAGATGATGGACTATGTGCTGGCTATCTTGTACTCTAATTATACAAACTCAAAAACATAAAACAGAGTTATTACAAGTAAAATACACATGATTCTAAGTCTTCAAGTCTTTAAGTCCTTTGTTCTTGAATCATCATCAAAATTCTCAAGCTTCATATCCTTGTATGTTTAATAGGGTAGGCTGCATGCATTAACATGGTAGTATTTCTTATCAAACAACTTATTCTAGCACACTCAAACAAAGAGATCATTCTTTACCACCTTGGTTTACAGTACAAATTTTCCAAATATCATTTTTACATGTATTACCACATGGTTAAGCAAGGCAAGTTAAGAAATGTCATGTAACCTTATATCTGACAACAAGGTAAGACCAAGTTAACTATCATGTCAATTCCAACTAGATACAGTTTTTTTCTTTTAAATTTTACAGTTCATTCGGTAAAATCCAAATCATTCTGACAGTATGACAGTGATGTTGAAATTCTGAGATGAAGCCAGAAAACAAAGAAAACAAGACAATGTCCTAGAACCATGTATTTGTCGGGTAACATTTCTAAGTACAAACTATAAAATCTCAGAACCCCAATCCATAAAAAAACTGTGTCAGACAAATTCCCAATTATTCCCTAGTTCCACTTACAAAATCTCGCAGAGCATTCAATCAAACAACAGAGATCAACCCCGAATCGTCCAAAATCCAAATGCCATAATAATTCATAATGACAAAAACAAAATGACACACACACAGAGTCAACAAGACCAAAGAACACAATGACGAAAAAAACAAAAATTACCATAGAAAAATTGAACCACAAGTAAAACCAACAAACTCAAATATCTCAAAACAAATTAGTAAAATATAAAAAGACTTTGGATTGTAATTGTACCTTCGCCTTGGAAATGATTTTAACAGCAACAAGTTTTCTTATAAAAGATGGGTGCTTGAGGATGGGGGTTGTGAGTTGGAAAATGTATAAGGCTGTAAGAAGTGGTAGAACGTTGGGGGTGCTTCTTGATTTGGGCGTCATGAACGACAGGCTTGCGCTTGCGCTTGCGAAGTTTTCCTTATTTGAGACTTGAAAAGAATGAAGAAATGTAAGAAATGGGAAACACATCTATATGCGTAGGGTAGAGGAGGTGACAATGGGAAGGGGGAGTGGGGTAGGAACTACCTGTCCTCAAAAGCATGAAGGAGATCAGGAACGGACTGTAGATTTTCAAGAGGCTCCCAAGTGTTGGCAGTCTTAGGCCATCCACGCCTGCCAAACACAGCAAAATGCCCCTTAAAAACTTCATTATTCACACCTATCAATGAATGATAACCAACAGAAACAAAAAAACAAGAAGAAATTAATACCAACCTAAAGGAGGTAGTACTTAACAATGAATGATAACCAACAGAAACAAAAAAAACAAGAAGAAATTAATACCAACCTAAAGGAGGTAGTACTTAACTTTCCAAATTGTAATCTTGTAACAGTGAATCCACAATAAGAAATTATCTCCCGTAGTACTAGTGATGCATAAACATCACCAAAAAAAGCATTACCATGTATCGTGTTTATAGATTGACACAGGCACACGGGATTTTGAGATATGGTGTTCGTGAACTTCTATCTTCGGGTTAGATATTGTGAGGTTTTGGAATGGGATTTGAGGTCGTTGGGTTAGGATTTCAGTTCGTCAAGGTAAGGGTTCTAGTTCGATCTCTCTTAGGTTGGGGTTTGAGGTTGTCAGGGTTTGGGGTGGGGGTTCGAGATCGTTGGGCTCGGGTTAGGGTTAGGGTCTGTCATGACGAGGGTTTGGGTTAGGGTTAGGGTTGGGGTTCGATGTCATTGGAGTTGAGGTTGTGGTCGCGGTTCAACGCACTTGGGTTTCGGTTAGGTTCGAGGTAACTGAGGATTGGGTTGACGTTCAAGTTCACATGGTTTTGGGTTGCGTTTTAGGTCATCAGAGATGGGCTTTCAGGTGGTTGAGGATGGGTGTTCAGGTGGTTGGAGTTGACAAGTCATGGTTCAATGGTCGGAGTTGGGCGAAATTGGGAGCGGAGCGGAAGTTCAGAGGCAATGTTCATGGCCAACAATAAGGTCACCCTCAAATTTGTGAGTGCGAACATAAAATTTGGGAGGATAAGAATTAAGAAAATATAATTTGATATTAATTAAAATAATTAAAAAAATAAATGAAATAAGAGAGTGACTAAAAATATCCTGTGGCCAAAAATTTGTTAGAAAAAGAGGTTGAGATCAAGAGAGGGGTGAATTGATCTTTGAAAGATTTTCGCAATTTACAGATTATCTATTTCAAAGATTAAGAATTTTGACCAATTCTTGAATCAAGAAAAACAAGCAATTAAAATAAAGGCAGCAACATAATTAAAAAGAGTAAGGTTTAGAGAAATACAACCAAGATTTATACTGGTTCACCCAATCCCAGGGCTACGTCCAGTTCTCAGCCAAATTTCAGCTGAGTTCCACTAGATTGAATGTTTTACAAATTACAGATTCCAATCACACACCCAATCTACCCCAAGACCCAAATTCCAGATCTTGCACCTAAATCTTCACCAAGAACTAAATTCCAATTCTTGAATCAACTTGCAGCCAAATTCCAGCTACAGAACCAGTGCCCAATAATTTCAGACACCCAATCTTACCACAAGAACCAAATTCCAGTTCTTTTACCTAAACCTTCACCAAGAACCAAGTTCTAGTTCTTGAATCAACCTGCAGCCAAATTCCAGCTACAGAACCAGTGCCCACACTTCCAGACACCCACAATACAGTAAAGAAATGTAAAGAAACTAGAACAATCAAACTTGGATTATGCAGTCCCTGTAGTATGAGTTTCTTCAAAAAAAGAATGCAAAAATTGCCTCAAGAAAGAACATTGAAAAAACTTCACAAAACTTGCGTAATTCTTTCTCGAAAATAGCTCTTATGATTGCTTGATTGATTGCTCAAAAATGTGTTTTAAAAGACTGAAACAATCCTATTTATATAGAGATTTGTTCTAATTGCTGGTTTAATTAATCTGTTAAAATAATCTTTTAATCTGTTAAAAGTCTTGAATTAATCTGTTAAAACATCTTTTAATCTATTAAAATGTTCTTAATCATTTTCCAAATCTGTTTTAACTGATACGACAATGTTTCAATCGATTAAAACACTTTGTAAAAAATCTCTTAAGTTGTTTTAATCGATTAATTCTCATTTTAATCGATTAAAATTCTGCCAAATATTTTCATAAAACTTTTTAAGTGATTTTAACTAATAACAACCAATTTTAATCGATTAAAACAGTTAACAAAAATTGTTTTAATCGATTAATTCGTTTTTACATCGATTAAAATACAAACAAAACATCTTTCAAAACACTTCAAGTTATCTTAATTGATTGTTTCAAGTTTGTATCGATTAAAATACTGACAGAACATCTTTCAAAGCACTTCAAGTTATTTTAATCGATTGTTTCGAGTTTGTATCGATTAAAATATTGCCAGAACACTTTCCAAAACATTTTAAGTGATTTTAATCGATTATTTCAAATCTATATAAGTTAAAATACTGGCAGAAGGTTTTCAAAAACTCCTTTAATGAAAACAATCGATTAATTCGAAGGTATATCGATTAAAACAGTTCCATTGAATGTTTTAAAAGGTTTTAATCGATTATTTCAAAAACCTATCAGTTAAAAACCTGTTATGTAAGTGTTAAGAACATGTTAACTAATAAAGCTCATATAATATCAGGTAAAACAATTTCTTAAAAACCATTTAACCGATTACTTTGGTTTTTAACAGATTAATCATCTTTAGAGGCATTTTAAAAATCTTTTAAATGATGAAACCTCATGCAGGAGAGAGATATGAATGATTATACCTATGTATAGATGTAGACTCACTAATCACTTCTACCCTTTTAACCAAGCAACCTTTGACTTCACCAGAATAGCCTTTGACTTTATTTGTCTTCATCAAATCAACAAGATCTTCATTTTATCAAATGATTCAAATAAGATCTTCATCATTTTCAGTCTCCCCCTATTTGATGAAGACAAACACCTCTTTGAATGATATCTCTTTTAACGATTCTGCAGAAGAAGTCACTTGAATATATATATATTAGTGAGTATTCAAAATTAATCATTTCTCCCCCTAAAATAGTGAGTATATCAAAATTAATCATTTCTCCCCCTTTGACTTTATCAAATATAGAGAAGAGAGGAGTAAAACAAGCAATATGCATGGCATGTAACAAAAATTATTTTTAAAACAACATTATAAAAAACAAAACAAGATACCAATGAGATGTATTATTCATTTAAAAAAAATTAAAGTTGATTCAAACTTATCTTCGTTAACACATTTGTAATGAATACAATAGACATGTGTAAACATAAGAGAACCATGCTTTAGTAGCATGCTACAAGAACAACCATTAACTAAAGCCTTTAATTTTCTTTCCAGAATAATAATCGATTAAATTGTTCTTGTTACTGATTTTAATTGATACAAATAATGTTTTAATCGATTAAAATAGTAATGAAAGATGAAGTTTAAAAACATGAGTTCATTTAATCGATTAAATTGATATTTAATCAATTAAAATAGTATGAAAAATTTTGTAAAGTAATTTTAATCAATTAAAGCTCGTTTATATCAATTGAAACAATCAGATTTGGAAACTAAGTGAGTTTTGATGCTTCTAGGATTCCTAATTTATTTTGAATTTTAAAAAAATAGTTATTACAAGATGTTTAGTGACAAAGTCAACTAATTTGATTAAGTTTTAACCAAAAGATAGAATAAAATCAGAGTAAAGCATCTTATCAAGTGAATTTAATTGATGTAAATCAATTTTAGTTGATACAGATTCATGATTTATGGTTTTTAATCGGTTAATTCGTGAATTAATCGATTAAAATAGTATGAATTTCCTATGTAAATGTTTCTGTAAATGAATTTAATCGATTAAATCGATTTTGTATCAGCTAAAACTATCATATTTATGTTATTGGTTTCAATCTAGGGTCTCTAATTTAAATCTAAACAACTGATATCATAAAAAAGATAGTTGATTGAAGATCAGTTAACATTACATACCATAATAGAGAATAAAAGTGACAGAAAATAAGGAAAGCATGAAACAAAAACATAAAAAGATAGAAAGGACCCTTCTTGATGATACTCAATCATCCCAATTTCCCTGGTATAGCTGCATATCCTCCAATTTGGTATAAATGTCAGCAATCTGATTTCCCAGGTTGGAGAATTGTGTGTTTGTCTGTTGGAAATGTTGGTAAGTCATTTGCATGTGTTTCCCCTGATTTTCTTGTAATGAGGACATTTGAGAGAGCATAGTCCTTTCAAATTGATAAAGAGGAGTCCCACGGTCAAGCTGCTCAATTTAAGGTATGATCTCCATATTCTCATATGAGGTTTCCCCACCAGTGGACTCGGGAACCTCAACAGCTGGAGGAGAAGAAATTGGATCAGCTTCTTCTTCATTATCATCCTCATCTTCGGACATACCAGCCTCAACTTTGGAGATCCATTCATCATCAATTTTGATGAACCCCATTTTCCGTAGAGTAGAATCATCAATTTCGTTTGAAGATTTAGGGGTCTCCACACTTTCTCCTGCAAGGTCAACTTCAAAATATCTAAAGAAATTGTTAATCAACATGGCATATGGCAGTTTGTAATCGGATAACCTTTTTGCTTTCAACATGTGATCTTTGATTACATATACCCAGTTGACTCGAATATTATTTGAAATGCAGTACATGAGGGCAAGGTCACCCTCATTTAGCAAAGCATGGTTGCTCCCCTGGGAGTGAGTATCCATACAACAATGAAGGCCAACAGCCTAGGTTCAAGCATCAGTTTACCAGCATTTAAAATTCTTACCGAATCAGTTGGGTCTTTGAGGCAGGATCTGAAGAATTGTATTTTATTGAAATCTGGTAGATTAGAGACATTTCCTCTGGGTACTTTAACACCACTATCTTTGAGGCCAGCAACTTCTTCCTAAACAGAAGGAGTGATTTCCATATTAACTCCTTTTACCTGAGATTTGATTGTAGACCCATTCACTATTAGATTGGAAAAGAAAACACGAACCAAATCAGGTTGTATATTTCCAGTATAGTCCATGAAGGTTTTTAGCTTCTGACTTTTCAGCTTTCTTCTTAGGGCTATAAAACCTTCTTCATCAAGCCATTTGAACTTTATGAACTTGGGAATAACAATTTGCTTCTGACTGAATTCAGCAATGAAGGTGTTTATTCTGTAAATATCTCCATCGAACCAAGCTTCTAAATGTCCACCAGGATTGGCAGCGGAGGAAGATCCTCCTTTATGTTTCTTCCTAGATTTTGATCTTTTAAACATTTTGTCTTGGAATTCAAGAAGAGAATCAAAGTCGAGAGAAGATTGTTGAATCAGAAAATGAAAGTGAGAAAAGAGTGAAGAATGATAATCTCAAGTGTGCAGAACCATGGGTTTTGGATTTCAAATTTATAAATTGAAGTTCAATTGGTAGAACCTGCAAAGTTACAGCTTTAATTGCATATGTCCCCTTGACTGAAGGATGAGGCACATGTTTCTGGACAGTGGGTACATCAGATATTTTGTTCCTTGGATAAGTATTGACTTGGTCAAAATTGTACAGTAAATGCACTTGCAGAATTTGATAACAATAAATCTTGGAAATTAGACCTTGATTAGCTGAAAATTTTCCAATTGATCTGTAATTAAAATGATTTCTAAGAACGAATTAATCGATTAATCAACAAATTAACCAATTAATTTGATCTTGAATATTAGGTTTGAAAAAGCAATAGTGAAATAATTGATTAAAAACATAAAAGAATCGATTATTTTTGTAAAAAAATTTAATAAAATGTCGCGATAATTTTAATCGATTAAAATGAAAAAGAATCGATTAAATTTGACTCTTTAATGATTTTAACTGATGTAAATCCTTTTTAATCGATTAAAACAAAGAGAATAAAACTATACTAAAATTTCGAGAACATTTTAATCGATTAATTCATAGAATAATCGATTAAAATTGTACAAAC